ATGAAGAACTAAATGTGAAGAAAAACATTAAATAAACAGAAGAACTAAAAGTGAAGAAAAACATTAAATAAACAGAAGAACTAAAAATGAAGAAAAACATTAAATAAACAGAAGAACTAAACGCAAAGTTAAAATAAAAATGTTTGTGATAAATTCGAAATTAAAAAACTTTAACAAGTTATTAAAAGAAAACAAAAATAATATTTTTAAAGTTTTATTAATTTATGTTGTATGGATTGTTTATACTGTTCTGTATTTTTGAGTATTGTTTATAATATCTATGTTTTATTTATAATGTCATATCATAATCGATTATAAAATGATAGGGGTAGGCAACTGAAACAGTTCCAAGTTTTTTTGAAGAGTACCAAATCCATAAAATAAAGTAGGAGTATAAATTGTTAACTTTTGAATATATTTACATCAACGATTAGTAATAGTAATAATATATTTGTTTCTAAGTTTTATTAAGGCAAGAGGTCCAATAAGTCCTAGATTTTTTCAATGCCCAAATTCAAGGCCCCAGACTTGTCTAAAAATGGTAATACTGGTACGATCACATCTCTATACTAACTACATTTTATATTATAAATATATTAAGTAGAAGGGTTTAAAAATTAATGGCCCAAGGTACAATAAGCTTTTTTTAATTTACACCTAGGGTCATTTTCTGAAAATCAAGTTTAAATTTATAATAATTTACAATAACCATAGACACATAAACTTGATAAAAAGTCATGATAATAATCTTAGATTGTTAATTAATTTATCTAGTGTTACTTTATTGCAGCACTTAAATGTATAACAAAATAGTTCTGAGCGAAAGTGACAAATAAGTTTTTGCATAAAATGATAGTCTCAAAACATTTGTGGATTTTGAGATGATGACACACCAGGCCTTGGCGGGAAGCGAGAGCTTTAGCTCTTGCTCTCGTCCACACTCCCCTAAAGTGGTTTACGGGAGCAATTTACTGCTCTTGTAAAAGTATAATTATTTCATAAATAATAACCACTTTCTTTCTCTATATTTAGATATTATTTAGAAAAGTTAAAAATACTTAGTGCTAACTACATCAATTAAGAAATAAAACAAAGTTTTGTTTCTTATTTTCAGATTTTTTTTTATTTTGATCAAAAAATTTTCAGATTTTTTTTTTATTTTGATTAAAAAATTTGATTATAAATAAATAGTTACTCGGTGTAGTTAAGGCCATTTACAAAATATTCAAATATTTTATTTGGAATTAGAATGGTTTTGTCAGCATATCATGTCCAAACAAGATCTTTAACTGTTATAATTTTTTTTGCTTAAGGTTTTTATAATATTTGAAGAAACTTTTATTTTTTTTTAAATAATTTTCAAAACCTTTTTAATACCAGTAATAGTGAATCTAAAGAACACTATTTTGGAGTCTTTAGATCAATTCAGATTATCGGCATTAACACGAATTTAGTTAAAATCTTTTGAAAAAGTTCCTTAATTTACAACTGATCCTAGTTCTCATCAGTTCTGACGTATATTAATAATATATATTTGTCAAAACACAGTATTTCTATCAATTTTCACAAAAAATACTAGAATTCCAATCAAGAAAGAGCTTATAATTAATAAAAATTGCCAATAAACAATCGGAACAGATCGTATTGTTAAACTATAATGTTCATTTCACCTAAAAAACGTATTTATTTAAAATCTTATTAAAATTTGAAGGAGCGATTGTGATTTTAAGAAGATTTTTTTTTAAAAAAAAAGAGTCTTTGGTCTGAGTTTTTTCGCTGTAAACATTTATATTTTATGATACCGCAAAATTTATTATCTTAGTTTTTTTCGTCTTTTCATAATTCACAGACCATTTAACGAAAATATGCCGTAGTCAACAAAATATCATACAGACGCTATAATATTCTAAAAGTGCCTTAACTAGACCGAGTAGTGTGAAAACCTAAAAAAAACGCTCGTCTAAGGAATTTTTTCACGACACGATAAACGACGATTGTTTTGTATATATTCTATTAACATTAACGTTAAAAGCAAATGCTTGTAACAAGAGTAATATTAAATTTTGTATTTAATAAGCAATTTATTTAATAAATAAACAGATAGCTCGCCCGATAACCAAAAGCTCTTGTAAAAAGCTGTTTGGAGGTAGTTTGCATGGCTCGCCACGTTTGGCTCGCGGAGTAGTTCGCATGGCTTCCCACGTTTATTTTAGAGCTTTTCTCTGCTCCTGCACTCATTTATTTCCGCCGAGGCTTGAGACATAGTACAAAATTAACTTCAGAAACATACATATATATTACACATATATACACAGCATAAGCCTACATAATTTTTGTTTTTAAGTTACATTTAAAAAAAAAGTAAACGAGTAACCAATTACTAAGCATTATTTCACAACCCTTTCGACATATAAATTTATAACAAATAAAATGAATCTTAGTAGTCTTTGACAGAGCAGATTTTATAGTTTGAATCCTCTTGTTTGTGATTCCAAACAGAGCTATGAATGCTTTGTGACACACTCTTGTTTAAAATGGAACACCAGTTCGAATAAACCGGGCGTTGTACTCGTAGGAGAAGTCCCTGAATTTGGCATTCTTTTTATCTTTGCAAGGTCGTCGCCTCTCCACTGCTTTCACCTTTAAATAAATATCAGTTCACTTATTTTCAAGAATCAAGAGCAATAAGTGTGCAGTATTTTTTTTACTCGGTGTTATTACTATTTTGTAGAATGTTTACAAAACTGATGCCAGATAACTAAGATAAGGCATTCCTTTAGCTTTATAATTAATATTTTTCGTATGACAAATTATGTTTAACTTGTTATGACCGCATTATTAATTTTAATTAGTTTTAAAATGGCTTGTAAACACGGCCACAACATAGATAAAAGTGTATTAAATAAATGATTAAAGTCAAATACGATAAAAGAAAGTTTACCATTTATCCAAAAAAGAATAACAGTTATACCAAATTTAATTTACAGTAATGTAGAAAGTTCACAGTACACGTAAGCTATAACACGATGTCGCTAATAAAATAAATCAGCCTGAGATGGAACGTGCCTGTGTTGATTATTGATCCTATATTTACACTATTTTACAGGATCCTAGAATAGTCATAATCTAGAACATAGAAGATATGCTAATGCTGCTGTATTATATAATAAACTCCCCAAAAAGAAACAAAAGAACTTTCTATCCTATACATATTTTTACCCTGACCTAATACACATAAATGAATCAACAAAACAGCTGAGAATGCTCCACACACATCTAAGATAATTTGACTTACATAACAAAGTTTAACACATAAATAAATACACATAAATGAATCAACAAAACAGCTGAGAATGCTCCACACACATCTAAGATAATTTGACTTACATAACAAAGTTTAATGTTAAATTACTCTAGAAATTTCTTTTGAACAAAAATACTAGCCAACCTTTTTCTTATTCTAAGCATGAAAAGCATTTTAAAGTGAGAGACGGAGAGAGAGAGAACCAACTCAGTTCAACAATTTTTGCATGGCTCGAATAGAATTTCTAGTTTAGTACAGCATTTTAGAAAAAAACTAAGACTAACAAATGCTAAAGTTGATTTATTATGCAATGGAACAATAACCGAAGGTCTTGTATTACTTATTGTTGTTCGAACTTAGTAGAAAAAGGATTCTTTACCTGAAAAAAGAAAGCAAGGTGCGAGTCTTGCGCATCTTTGCTACTAATCAAATTAAATTAATTGAGTAGACCGACTTTTTCTTCGTCAGTAATTGCTTCAAAACATTTCATCTTGCACTTGCAATCTTCCCTCATGACTTGGTATGCCTTGAAATTTTATCTATTCTTCATGAGTAAAACGCTTTTTTCTTTTCTTTGGTTTGTCACTAATGATCGAGCGATCAGTGGTGCTTTCCGCCATCTTTAAAGCAGACATCTAATAAAAAAAGCGTGGGATTGGCTCGAACCTTTCATGTGATAGAAAAAAAGCCAGCTAATAACTAGCTTGATCGTTTTGTCGCTGCAAACATTGGACTCTGATCGTTCTGCCAATGTGTGGTGTTTTTTAAAATTCCAATAACTCAAGACTTCAATCGTTTTTTAATTATTCATTTCAGACAGACAAAGTATGAGCTCAGGGCTACAATAAAAAGGCAATAACTCAAAAAAATCAAATTTGTGACTCTTATCGTTCTTCCGTTAAGGCCTTAACGGAAGAACGATAAGATATATATATATATATATATATATATATATATATATATATATATATATATATATATATATATATATATATATATATATATATATATATATATATATATATATATATATATATATATATATATATATATATATATATATATATATATATATATGTATATATATATAAGTCTTAATCTATAAAAATTAAAAAAAATTAATTATATATATATATATATATATATATATATATATATATATATATATATATATATATATATATATATATATATATATATATATATATATATATATATATATATATATATATATATATATATATATATATATATATATATATACATATTTTCGGGTCTAATATTGTGTAAATAAATCCAATATGCTACCGAGGGACGCGTGAACCCCCCCCCCCCCCCCACTTTTTTCTAAAGAATTTTTTTTTTTTTCCAGAAAGTTCTAGATTTGTAGACTTCCACGAATTGTGTTGCGTAGCTGGCCACTCTAGTTTACTTCTAATTTTATCAAATTTTCTTATTATTTAGAAACTGTATTTTTTAATCAAATACTCTTTGAAAGTCTTCATTTTATGAAAAACAATTTTCAAATAAATTATATTCAAATACACACACATATATATATATATATATATATATATATATATATATATATATATATATATATATATATATATATATATATATATATATATATATATATATATATATATATATATATATATATATATATATATTTGAATATAATTATACAGGGCGACCAAGAGGGAGGGGCAATTGAAGTAGTTTGCCCCGGGCATCACAGTATATGGGGCATCACATATGTCTTAAAAAAAATTATTTAAATGATAAAAAATTTAGCTGATAACATATTTAAAGTATAAGCAATTTTTGTGTATAAATTTCGTTTTCCTTTTAAACTTTGTTCACATTTAAAATAGGATAATTATTACTTTAGAAGGTTTTCATTTTCCATTTGAACGCTCACGTTTTTATTGGCCTTTTGTTTGCATAATAAAGTAAATATTATTTTCTTTTTAAACGGCATGTAGAAGTTCTTTTGGACTTGGAGATGAAACAAAGCAATGAAAATTTTATAATGCATTCTTTATGTCGCAATTTTTCTGGCTTCAACAAATTTAGCTTTTAGGAGTAAGAATATTGTTTTTAAATTTTAATTTATATTTTGCATTATTTTATTTATAATTTAAAAATCAAAATTAAAATTTATGATTAGATATAAATATGAATTACTATTTTAATAATTTTTTTGTTTGCAATTAGAATCCAATCAAAAATTGTTCAAAAATGGGAATGGAAACTTGGAGCTTATTGTTAAGCAAGGCTACGACAATGGCGCTAATATAGCAGGTATTCACAATGGAGTTCAAGCTTTGATTAGGCAGAATAGCAGAATAATCTACAAGCATTTTTCATTCCTTGCTCCGCTCGCAGTTTGAACTTGTGTGCAATACACGCTATTGAATTATTGGCTCCTGGAGAAGACAGACCAATCATTACATAAACTTTCTGTTACACGATGGAACTCAAGAATTGAAGCAGTCAAGTCACTAGCAAAAAAGCCAAGAAAGATCTTGAAATCATTACATTGTCCAAAAGAGTTAGACCTTCCAGGCGAAAGTAGTAATGAAGTGTATTATCTAATTTAATGGATGAATTCCTTTGAATTTTTTGTTTTCACTATTCCTTGGTATAAATGTTTGATGGTAGTTAACAATGTGAGTCTTTAGCTTCACTTCAGTCAACTTACTCTTGAGGATGAAGTAAAGATTCTAAATAGCCTTTTGACAAACCTGGATTGAATCCGTTTGTCTTGGAACCTTATTATACCTGATGTAGACAACAGAAGTTGCAAAGAATTTAAAATTTAATGAAATTATGTTTTCTGCGAAGAGAACGCAAATAAAGAAGTTCTTTCCTGATGAAACTGCTAGTTACAACCACGAAGAATCATCAAAAAACTTTGAGTGTAATGTCTTCAATGTTGCACTCAACAGTCTGACTAGTCAAATGAGATCAAGATTTAAAGTAATAAAAGAGGAATGTTACAAGTTTTCCTTCCTTTAGTCTTCACAAAAATCTCAAACAGACGAAGAACAGGTTTAGAAGCTGAGAATCTGGCTAAACAATACCCAAAAGACTTATGTAAAAATGAATTTTTTAATGAAGGTTTTTTTCCGTAAGAATAAATATTCTAGCCAGCAAAAAGCATGTCGAACTTCTAAATGAAGTTTATGTAAAGGGATTGCATTTAATATTTCTACGAGTGCGTGTTTCACTTAGAATCAAACATTGCCGTTTCAATATCTGAAGGTGAAAGATCTTTTAGCAAGTTAGCTATCATCAAAGATTATCTTCTTTCCATAAAGGACCAAAAGCAATATTGCTACTTGATGATCCTTTCAATTAAATCAGATTTAGCCAATAACATTTCTTATGAAGAAACTATTTTTGCCGATAAGAAGGCTCGGAAGATATGTTTAATATTAGGACTAAATTTTACCATAGTTTGCCTTTAAAAACCAAAATTAATTAAATGTGATTTCAGGTTTTCTATGAAAGTAAACAAAAAATAATTATACTAATTTATTTTTTATTTGTCATTTCAAGAAGTATGATTGGGCATCCATTAAACTTTTGGACCCAGGCATCACAAGAGCTCTGGGCGGGCCTGTATATATATATACAGTTTTTGCTTAACATCAAAAAGTAAAGTTATCTGCAAAATTCACTATTTAACAATTCCGGCACTGCTGGCAATTACCTTTTGCAAAAGTTTTTGTTATTACAATCAAAATTAGTATCATTCTTTTATTTAATATAAATATGGAATTAGGTAAAAAGATTTGTTGTTTACAAAAATGTTAATTAATTACTTCATGAGTTTAAGGATTTTATCACTACAGCAATTTGACTTATTATTATCTCAGTTAAAAGATTTTATGAATAATGAAGTCAAAGCCATAATGAAATAGTCTTTTAAGTTTATTTAAAGTATATTTTGTTGAATTAATTTGCTTAGTTGATTTTTATTATGGAGATTATTGAATAAAAATAGTATGTCCATACTAAGAATATGTATCTCCATAATAAGAAGTAATGAAAATCAATTTATAGTATTGATCTTCTATTGTTTTAAATTGTTTTTAACTGAATGAATGACTAAATGGTTGAAATTAACTAGTTAAATTATAATTAAAATCAATTATAACTTAGATGTTTGTATTATTGACAACATTGTTATCTAATATCATTATAATTCAAAATTTATTTGATCAATAAAATACTATTTGGTTTTTGAAATATAGGATATCGATAACAGCTTTTCTGGGTTTTGTTATATTTTGGATATCATGGGATACAGCTAAGCAACCTGAAAGATTAATTTCATTGGCAGGTTTAATTGTGTATTTGCTTATTGGCTTCTTGTTTTCAAAGCATAGAGACCAAGTGAGTATATTTAATACACACATACACTCACACACACACACACACAAACACACATAATTTTTGTATTTGTTTAAAGTTACTATCACAAGAGTTAAAAACATAATCAAAAATTTGTATAAAGTTTTAAAAGTCGTGACGATAGAATAATAGGGTTCTATCTCCATTTTGTACTGTTAAAAGAGTTTAACAAAATTTGTTATACTCTCTTAAATTTTTAAAATTAAAAGTAAAACATTTAAATTTGTTAAATTAAAAGATCAAAATATCAAATTTGTTAAATTGATTGCTTAGAATAAACATTATTTATTATTTATCAAGTAATATAAATTGGTATAAGCAAAATAGCATATCGGTAGATGAGAATTAATAATAATATTAATAACTATTTATTACTGAATTTTAACAAAATAACAATTAAAATGATTTAAATGTTCATAATGTTAAACAAGAGTGTGTAATAATCACGCTCAGCCTGTGACTTTATATTCGCTTTCAATATATTCGTCTAATTGTTTTAAAAATATTTTCACTGATATAGATAGCATGATAGACGGAGGGAGACGATTCCATACAGTGGCTATTCTATTAAGAATAAAATTCTCTCTTAATGGACGACATTCTTTTATTAGTTCTTTTTTGAATCGAATGGGATTTCTTCTGTATGCAGGTTGTTCCATAAACTCACCATGTTTTACTATCATTTTTTAATGTAGATACACCATTTAACTTGTATGAAACCATGGACAATTCTGAAGCACTCTATTAAATCTCCTCTTAAACTTCGAGTTTCTAACATTGTAATATTAAACCTTTTTAATCGTGATTCATAACTTAGATGTGAGAGGCTTCTTGTTCAAGTAGTTCTTCTTTGAACTTTTTCAAGAGCTGCTATATTGTATTTCTTTGATGGATTCCAGATTGATGCTGCATATTCGAGATATGCGATCGAACAAAGGCTTTATATGATGTTTCAGCAATTGAGGTGGTGTACCATTCAAATGTGTGCTTAATTAAACCGAGCATTCTGTTAGCTCTGTTGGCACAGTAATTGATATGTTGGCTGTATTTTCCATTTGTAGATGTCAAAATGCCTAGATATTTTTCTGAATCAGAGCCTTCAATTCGAATTTGTGTTTTTATATCAAAGTCAAAGATAGTATAATTTCTTTTTTGATTATACTTACCAAAATGCATTATTTTACATTTATTAAGTTTCATCCTCCAATCCTGAAACCATTTAGTTATTTTATCTAAATCATTTTATAATTCGCTTTTAAGTATTTCAACTTCGTCCAGCTAAGCAAAAGTTTTACTACCATCAGCGTATATTTTTATTACACGGAAAAGTTTACAAGGAAGGTCGTTTATGATTTTTCTGAATAAAAGCAGTTCAAGTACTGATCCTTGTATTACACCACTACTGATTGCACTCCAGTCAGACTGGTTTTCACCAAGTACAACTCGTTGTTGTCTGTTACTTAAAAAAGACTTAATCCATGCAACAAATTTATTATTAAAACCATACGATTTAACTTTATGGGTAATGTATTCATGTGATACAGTGTCGAATGCTTTCACAAAATTAGTAAATAGGATGTTAACTGGATGTTTGTTATATAAAGCTGTACTAACAAAGTCTGGACATTCTAGCAAATTTGTGAAACAGCTCTTTTTTGGCACAAAACTATCTATATATAACATTTAAAAGATTTTATCAGTATAAACAACAACAACTGTAAAACAATTAAATAATTAGAAATCAAAAGTTAAATTCTCACAACATTAAAAAATGGAGATAAAACCCTATTATTCTGACGTCACAAAGTGTTGAAAGTAGAGTAGTACTTGAAATAATATTTTATTGTTGAAATATAGAACTTCTGGCAAAATGTGTACATAAAACTGTATAGTATGTATACAACAACATTGGTAAAAAATTTATTGGAAGATGATTAACCCACACACAAACACACATATAAATATGTTTTTTATAAACCTAAGTAAAACTTAAAGTTTTGTGTACAAATTTTGATGGAGTGCCACAATAACTTTATAATAATCAACTAATTAACCTATATAAATTTATTAAGTTATTTATAAAACAAAAACTAAACAAATAAATCATCATATAACAATAATATCTTTTTAAAATAAACCTGTCACATTTTTCCACTTAGCAGTATTTTACTTTTACATTAAATTTACTTTTGACTGATAAGGTAAGTATTGTTTAAAACTGAAGAGTTTTGATTTGATCATGTTCAATTTGTAACAATTGTGTAGAGATAGTTTGCAGAATCCAAATAAAACATTTCATTAAATATTTTTTTTACAATTTTCATTTTCGAACATTTTCTCTAAATTATTCACCAAACCCCTAAAAGAATAGCATAGATGCTCTACTGTCATATTTATCAAGTACATCTTCAATGCAACAGGTGTTGTTCTGTGTGTCAATTAAATATCTTGCGATTTACCATCCTTATATGTAAAAGTATGGTAATGCTCTACTTCAACACATTTTGCTATGAAATTTTTCGATTTAGTCATGTTTGTTTTTTAGTATTTTTATTTTTATATATCTTTTCGTCTAATGCAAAGTAAGTGTCTTCCCTTCTGAATCTGCATTTTTTACTTTCAATTTAGTTCTATCTAATTTACACTTATAGATTAGAATGTTGTTGATGTCACAATAAATAACTTAATAAATAAATATTGAGTAACAAAAAATCTTTGATATCAATAAGCAAGGCACTCACAAAAATACACACTTAATAATTGTCCAAAATGTTGGAATAAAGTTAGTTATCTTGGTGGTAATAGTACTTATTCAATTGTCTGTAGATTTGTTACAATTAAATCATAAGTTATAATTAATTCACCATAATTAAATCACCTTCATAATTCTTTTTACTTCTGAATTATATTAGGGACCTTTTATTATTATTTTTTTTTTTTTTACATTTAAAATAAATCCAAAAGTTTGGATTATATTATTATTACCTGACACATTAATTAATTATAATAAATTAAATGCTCTTTGATAAAATATAAATTTATTAAATTTTTTACAAAATAATAACCTGTTTGTTAATTTCACACAACCAGTAAAATATACTTACTGTTTACTGTAATCTACTTAAACTACAAAATACATTTTTACAAACATAGTAACATTTTTAAAACATAATAAATTAAGTTTGTTAGTCCAAATATATAGACTCAATCGACTTAAAAGGTACATTCTATATATAATAGAAATATAGAAAATTTATAAGCAACATTTAAATTTGCTCTGTTGGCATTTTAAATTTTTACATATGTATATATATTCTCTCTCTTTTGAATAAAAATTCCAATTTCTTTTAACTTTTCACTGGAATTTCAAAAAATTGGTTTCTAAAGTAAAAATAAATGATTTTTTTTTAATTGACACAATCTAATCTAAAAAATTCATTTTATAATTGGTTATCAAACTGAAGTTTGTTAATTGAGGTGTTCTTATGAATGTTCAATTGGATTAAAGTCAAAACTTTACAAAGCGATTCCATTAATCAATTTTTTTGGACTTTCATGTCTTTCATTAGAGTTGAATTGTGCTTTGCATCAATATCCTGCTGAAATATCTATCCTCAAGGCATTTTGTCTTTATCATGTGCAGTATAGCATCCTTAATGATATCCTTTTACATATTTTTGGACATTATGCCATCAAGCCTGACTTTAGAAAGACTATTGTTATTTCTTTCCTTAGATCTTTTATTTTTATCCGATACTTTTGATTTTCCTATTGCAAACTAAGCCATAGCGGTTTAGTTTGCAATAGGAAAATCAACAGTAGTTCTGCTTTGTTTAATTGCATACAATACTGCCTCTTTGTAAGCTAAACTTGTATAATTTTGCTTTGTCAGTTTCAAAATTTATTAAAAACAAAGTTCTTTGTAATTAAAAAATACTTCAAGTTTTATTTACGGTTTTCAAAAATTAAATAAAAGCTATAAAAGTTATTGAAGTTTTATTATTTTAGTTCTGCCCAGATACTTTTACACATGTATATTTTAATAAAAAAATTTTAGATTTGATTACTTAGAATAAGTAAAAATTGATTTGTTTTTACTTTTGACATTCATTTTTGTTACATTTTTGACATTCCAGTAAAAAATTTGAAAGAAATTGGACTTTTTATAATAAGTCAAATGTGGATTTATGGTTTTGTGACTTTCAAATTCAGAGTCCTTTCTGGGACTTCACCCAGTGGGAATCAGCTAGCGAATAGTAACAATAAAGACAGCGGTTTGACCACAAGGATTCGCTTAGCAAAAAGCTATGGATGTTTGTAAAGATAAAGACAGCAATTTTGCTATAAGGACAACTAGCTTAATAAGCTAAAGACCCACTGGCTTTAGTAGCTAGCATCATATCAGGCTTTCACAGGAAGGCGTGCAATCTAGTTCAAAAAAAATTTTAAAATGCACTAAATGAGAAATATTCTGAAAAAGTGGAATTAACTACATCAAAACTTCTTAACAAATGTTTTTATATAAGCGAATTGCTTTTAAATGAAGTAACAATTTACTAATAATGGTTGTTTTTTAAAAATATAATTGACAGTTGTATACATTTTTCAATTTATAATATATAAATTGTTTAAGTGTGTATTTCTATAATAAATGTTTTTAAAAAATAAAAAATTGTTTTGTTTTTATAAACGATGACATTCTACGATTTAACGAATTTTAATATAAGAATAATTAAAGTTGATACATTTAAAAAGATAAACAAAAGTTTGTTAAAAAAAAAAAAAAAAATTTTAGAAAGCGGTTACAATTAAATAAGTTGATCTTAAATGCTTTTATATTATCAAAACGCTTTTCAATGAAGTAACAAAACACTTCTAATTAATATTTAAAATAAGTATTAATAAAATGTTGTTTTTTTTTATTTATGAGAAATGTTTATCTTTTGTTTTTTATGAGAAATGTTTATCTTTTGAAACATATTAAATAAATAAAAAAAAAGTACATATGATAATTTAAAGATTGAAATGGTTTTTTAATGCGTAAATTAAATTGACTAAGCATTTTAGTTTGATAAGTTTTGTGTTAGTTGGGTTATATATATTTATTTTTTTGTGTTTTTGCTTTAACTAAGTATTTTTTTTTATTTTCTCTTTCGTTAAGATTTTTTTTCTTTATACAATTTTTTTTTTTTAGATAAGTTAGGTAAGTTTTTGTAGCGCATTTTTAAATTTTGAAAATATGTCATAAGCTGTGGTCACATCGTTAAATCATATTATTTTTTGTGTGGTCATATAAAGATGTGCGATCGTACGCCTTCCTGTGAAAGCCTGCATATCGTAATAAAATTGCTGTCTAAAAAATTTTGATATGTAGCTATCAACCAGCTATAGATTTGTAGAAATTTTGTAGCTACAAAGCTACAATATGTAGCTAGTGACACATTGCTACAAAATCGCAATGTTTAAAGTTAAATTATTCTCAAAATTATAATAGACTCAAAACTAAAAATCAAATTTTTAAAGATGGTAAAGACATTAGGAAAAAATAAAATAAGAAAAAAAAATTGCTTGAAAATCACTATAAAGCTAGCTAGTCTCTAGCTCATTTACCACTGGCACATCCCTTATATTTATATATGTATAATCTGCTAGTCATCTTTATAAAAAATTAAATTTGTATAATTTGTTTTATTCTTTAAAATTAAATAATTTTTTTAAAAGAAGTTGATTGTATTCTTTTTAATTTAGATAAAATGGCGTCCAGTTTTTTGGGGATTATCTTTGCAGTTTTTGTTTGGGTTATTTATATTACGGACGTCAATTGGATACTTTATTTTTAAATGGCTTGGTGATAGAGTTTCAATTTTTCTGGATTTTTCAAGAGCAGGTTCTGAGTTTTTATTTTCTAAGGAACACATGGAAAAACATTTTTTTGTTTTTGTTGTAAGTATTTCCATTTTTATTTTATTTACTTATAGTTTTTTAAAGCTCAATTGTTAAGCACATATTTTTAATCTATTTTTGCATTTATTTTATTATCTATTTTAAATTTGATGTCTTAACAATTTTTATACATTAGCAGGCTTGGTCGGGAAGCGGGTGCGATCGCACTTGTTAATTGACCACGGAAATTATATTTACTTGCGAAAAGCTGGCCAGATTTTTCAGGCGTTTTGAGAACATTTAAGTTTATGTATGTTTCCTTGTTTGTCCGCAAAATAATAAATTTATTATTTTATCGTAAATTTTAAAATATTTTGTTTTACAGACGTACATGGAAACTTATATAAACTTTAATGTTGTCAAACATCTTAGTGCGGAAAAATAAATAAAGAATATTAGCAAACACAAAAAACCCACCAAATTTACGAACAACTAATTCTATTGGTTCAATTAATAAATAACTGAAATTACTAAAGAATTCAAGCAAATGTTCTAGAGTATTCTGTTGAATTATTTTTCAAAATCGTATAATTTGAGTTTTGTTATGTTTTCGTTGAGATTTCTAGCATTAATTGTTTTAAGAATATACTATCAAGCGAACAATTATTTTAATACAGTGGCTCATTCTTGGAGTCACATCTACAAAGCTATAAATGTTTTAAACTAACATTTGTTTACAAAAATAAATATTTTAAATTTATATTTTTAAACTTGTCAACGTTTTGTAAATAAATTAAAGATTTAATTAGTATAATCTTATTTTTTATATATAAGAAATTTATTTATATGTATGTAATGTATTAGAAATTGGTTTATTAACTTCAACTATTTTTGCTTCAGCCATTCTTACAAACTCGTTATACTTACACTTAAAGTTTATTTTTTCTGTAAAATACTAGTTAAAGATATAAAGCCCACTCACTAAACATCATCAGCGATATTGTTAGGCAGTTCCGCTTCCTCCTTACAAAGTAATTTAACGTTTTTAGTTAATTTCTATTTAGCTAATTAAATTTCCACAGTAACTCAATGGTTTAGTTATTTCATTTGTTCATCTTACTAAGAAGAATTGTTTCAAATATGTTAAACTTTTCAAACTAAGCGAAGCATAAAACAGGTACTGAAAAAACTTTTTTTATTTATAATTAAATTATGTAGCGTTAGTTTAATTGGTTTAATCTTGTTGGACTTTACAGGGCCGCGGGCTGCATTTTTTTTTTATGTGCGACAGCGTAAAAATGACTTAAAAATACCGATAGGTCATCTTGAATATTTCTCAGCCCATAACATTGTGTGTCCCGGGACTATAGCTTTTCTATCCCCACCCCCCCCCCACCCCCACCCCCCACCCCACCTCTTATTTCCAGCACTGGAAATAAGTCATAAGTATATAAATAAAAATTATATATAATCTTTGATAAATTGAAGAACATTTGCTTCTTTATTAAACAATCATTATTAGTACGTTGTTACTATATACAAAAAATGTCGCTTTTTTTTTAAAAAAAAAAAATTATAAAAGAACGACGTTTAAAAAATATTTGTTCTAATTGTGTTTATTTTGCTTAAAGTTTTTTCGCGTTAAAAGCTATTTTTCTTTTTTCAACTGTCTCTCATCGGTCCAGTTTATCTTATTGTGCTTTTTTGCTTGTTTTTGAAATGTTCTCAAAACGCCTAAAAAATCTGGCCGGCTTTTCGCAACTAAATATAATTTCCGTGGTCAAATATCGAGTGCAATCGCACCCGCTTCCCAACCAAGCCTGCGTTAGAATCTTTTGAAACATTTTTTTAACCATGTCTTGTTTAATTGAAATAATGATAAGTAGTTAAACGAGTTAAAAGTAAAGTAATATTTAAACTATTTCATTTTTCATAAGGTTGCCAGTGAATTAGCATATATATATATATATATATATATATATATATATATATATATATATATATATATATATATATATATATATATATATATATATATATATATATACATCATACTGAAATAGCCTGCTGCTGGGGGCTTTAGTACATACATCGACTGACTAATAGCCTGACTCGCAGTAGAATGCTGTTACATCGACTGAGGGTTTGGGATGGGGAAGCAATCGTTTCATTCATCATTCTTTGTTTTTTCTTCTTCTTTTTCGAAAAAAACGGTATAGCTTAAGGTAAGCAGAAAAAGTGAGCAAATGCTTATCAAAACACGCTTCAGCAAGTGTGTATATATATATATATATATATATATATATATCAGGCCTTGCGATAAAGCGTCGGGCGATGTGAATTTTATGTCATCCAAGAGCGATTTTGCGTGTAGCTAGGGCTATTTGCGTCGAGCAAAAAATTTTTTGTTTGAGTATATTTTTGAGCAGAATTTTAATAAAGTAATTTATGATTATTTTAACATTTAATAATGTATTTTAAAAACTGCATGCGGTTGATATAAAAATTTGAATTACAAAAAAATTGAATATGCTCATTATTTACAAGTAGAAAAAATTCAGATTAAAAAAAAATTTTAAATCTTTTTAAGCTAACATTTTAATAAAATTATTCAGTAATAGCAAAGTTGTCGATAAAATTGAACAAAAATACTTTCTTTTAGTTTAAGATTTTTAACTTAAATAATTATTTTACAGGGGTTTGTTAGGTTTTAAAAATTTTACATAGATTTAAAAATATTTATTAAATTTTTGTAAAAAGTAACTCAAAAAAAATTACTTCAATAATAACAATTGCTTTTTTGTTAAAAGTTACCAAAACTCAAAATTAAATAATTAAATAACAAAAAAAAAATTAAAAATATTTATTAAATTTTTGTAAAAAGTAACTCAATAAAAATTACTTCAATAATAACAATTGCTTTTTTGTTAAAAGTTACCAAAACTCAACGAAGCGTGCTCAAAAATAGCCGCTGAAAAATAGAACGTCAATAGTTTGATAAGTTAAAATAAAAATATATGAAATCATCCAAAAAAAATAATTTTCGACACCCTTACGTCTCAGAATTTGTTTATTTTTACACCACTTGCAGTCCATATCAAAAAAATAATAACTGCAAAAATTTAAGTTGAAAATACCAATGGGTTCCAGAGATATCGTCAGTTGAAATAATGCTGACTCAGCATTTTAGTAATTTTCTGAAGCGACTACAAAGCAACTTTGACATACAGTATCTTCATAATGGCTTGGTGAAATTTCCTAAAATTTGGTACTCTAATAGATTTTAACTTGAGGAATCCAAAAATAGCACTCTTAAGACTCGATTATCTCAAGAAATGATTGGATAATGAAAAAATATAAATTATATACTTGTTATATGCTATATTAGTCTAAAACTACATAAAGATATTTATTGTCAATATGTTTTAAAAACATTTTAAAACATTTGTTTTTGAAATTTATGACTTAAAATCATAAAAAGATCTTTGAAATAAGAGGTAAGTATTTATCCATTTGAAGTAACGCAAATAAATCGTTTCTCAAACTTAAACTGAAAAAATATGTTTTTAAAATGTATTTTAACAATCAACTATTATTTATTCATTTTATGTAAAAAAAAAAAAAATCTAGGGAGATTTGGGGAGGGGGCAGAGGGGCCTCCCGTGGGTAGAGAGGGCATCTCCCTTGGCCCATGACTTTAAATGTTTATTTAAATTTAAACTATTCAATAAATGACACTATTTGATGTTTTATTCAAATAAATGTTTTAAAAAATATTTTAATTGCTTTTGTTACAAAAATTAAATTTTTCTAAAAAGACACCATTTTTAAATGCAAATTTTGATCACGTATTAGAGAGACAATTAATGAATCTAATTTTTTTTAGTAGACCTAAGATGAAATAATGATATACAATTAAAATTTTTACTCTGGATTTTGGGCCACAGTCTTTATTTTACCTCCAAAAATCACTAACTTACAAGTCAATAATTTTGAACAAAATTGGATAAATGAGGCATTTCTTGAGATAATCGAGTCTTAAGAGTGCTATTTTTGGATTCCTCAAGTTAAAATCTATTAGAGTACCAAATTTTAGGAAATTTCCCCAAGCCATTATGAAGATACTACATGTCAAAGTTGCTTTGTAGTCGCTTTAGAAAGTCTAAAATGCTGAGTCAGCATTATTTCAAGTGACAATATCTATGGAACCCATTGGTATTTTTAACTAAAATTTTCGCAGTTATTATTTTTTTGATATGGACTGCAAGTGGTGTAAAAATAAACAAATTCTGAGACGTAAGGGTGTCATGGTCTGGATGATTTCATATATTTTTACCCTTTATATAACCTGGTTTTGTTACCCGGTTTCTACCGATGTAAAGCGAATTTCCACAAACACCCTGAAAAAGGCTCAATAAACATAAAAAATAAAATTAAAATTAATTTGCAACCTGTAATTATAAGCCATTTCATAAAACTTAAAATATAAAGTATATCTAAATGAGGACATATATAAAACGTGCATTAATTTTTTTCCTTAAAAAAAAACAAAAAATTGTTTTACTACTACTGCTAGTGCAGATTTTATTTTACTAGAAATAAAATTCCTTGTAAACATTAAAAATCTATTCAAAACGTTCGTTAAAGTTTTTTAATAATATGAATGATTGTGCTTATCAACCGCTTTATGAAAAAAATAAATAAATAAATATTATATAAAATCGCAGGTAAAAATACTAGCTATTGCTCAGTTTTTAATCGTACACTATTTAAATTTCCAGTTTATTACTTGCTGACTTTTTAAAAAGAAAAAATAATTATTTGAAAAACTTTAAATTACATATTTGAGAAGAAAAAAAATCAAATATTAGCATATTTTATAATCTTTTTTTAAATGTTTAGTTATAATGTTTTTTATTCGTTTAGCATATACAAAACGTGTCAAACGTCAAGAAAATAAACAAATGTTTTTACATTTTAAAAAATGAAACATTCCAAAACATTTTAAAATAATAACATTTCTATATATATATATATATATATATATATATATATATATA